TCGTTTCAAATCTACAGTAAATTATACAGAGAGAAAAATCGTCAATCTTATTCTACAAACAACCTTGTAACAATAATTATATTAACCTACATTGTTCAGCTGTGTGGTCAAAAACCTATAAAAGTTTTAGCAGACATAACAAAGATGTGACAGAAAGCTAAAATATAGTTCAAATGGTTTTATCACCTTCCAATTATGTGTTGAAAGCTATGGTGATCATTATTTGTGTTACAGTTAAATTTGATTAAAACATAGAATAAACTGTCACTGTTATAGATAACACACTTTTTGACAATGAGAGTGAAATTAATACCCACGACCTTATCTGAAAGAATTTGCGGGAATTTGATGCAGCCACTGGATGTCCCACATAATCTGTCAAGAGTTATTTATACAAGAGCATGCAGGTAGTGTTAGGCAATTATAATAGACCGATTTATTCACATCAGTATGCTATTCATTTAAGTACAAATTCATTTTCGGGGAAAAAGATTTAAGTTCAAGAGTTGGACCAGAAGATTAATCTGTCTAAATAAAAATTAATATAATATCAATCCTGAGATTTAGGTAATAGATAGATAGAAAGTTCTATCCTTAAAAATTTAAAATGATATTGTCCTACGGACCCGGTTGTGGTGAGGGCTTGTCCCGAGACACAGTTAGATTATTGTAACTAGGTAATAGATAATGTGATCTTGACTGACTTGTTCTAACAATCAATATCTTAAATGAATATTTGTTATTATCTCAAATCCTAGAACATAAGCTTTCAAATATGACTGATACAATGTCTTTCATAAGTATAAATTTGGTTGTGAAAAAAACTCTAATTGATATTACTAAGAAATTTGATTAATGATTATTATGAAAAATCGTCAAAATTGATATTTTTTAATAATTCAAATAAATATTTAAAAAAGCATACCACTAGTCTACTTCATAATATTTTTATGCCCCGCCATGAATATGGCTGGGGCATATAGTTTGTCATGTCTGTCTTCCGTCCTTCTTTCCTTCCGTCAAGCTTTGCATTTAGCTCAGTTCAAAGCTCAGTTTCAAAGATATTTTTCAAGATATTTTTATAAAACTTCATATGTTGATAGGTATTGGTGAAACCTTTTCAATTATGTAAACATTTTTTGACTTTGACCTTTCCTTTGACCTTGACCTTTTCTTAAGTTAGTGTTTAGCTCAGTTTTAAAGAAACCATTCAAGATAGTGTAATCAAACTTCACTTCATACGCTGATACATACAGATGTTAACATTTTTTGACCTTGACCTTTCTTTTGACCTTGACCTCACTTTTCTGATAAATAATGTTCAGCTCAATTTTAAATAAAGAATTTAAGATATTTTCATCAAACTTCATATGCTAATACATATTGATGAGAGCTATCAACTGCATCAACATTTTTCACCTTGACCTCACTTTTCTTAAATCAGTGTTTACCTCAGTTTTAAATAAATCATTCAGGATATGTTTATCAAACTTAATATGCTGATACTTATTAGTGAGGGCTATTCAACTGCATAAAATCTTTTAACCTTGCACTTTCCTGTGACCTTGACCTCCCTTTTCTTTAATTTGCATTTTGCTTAGTCTTAAAAGACATTTAAAATATTTTCGTGAAAGCTTATGCACTTATACATAATTTGGTAAAAATTTATCATCTATATCCAATTATTTTAGATTTCAATTTTAAAGAAACTATAGAAGTTTCTTTAAGAAAGAAGATATTCGCTTCAAACTTCATACACTAGTACAAATTTTCATGTTGCATTACTAATATACACTAGACGAGGCATTCATGTCCTATGGAAATACTTCTAGTTTTAAATTACTGAAATATAAACTAAAATGTTCATCTACACTTTTCCAAGGAACACACGCATCACTTCTAATAGCAACACGGGAATATAATAAAACTAAAGAGTTGTCACCTGAAGGATTTTGTATCTTTATTCTATACATCAGTAAGACAGATTAAATCTCATGTTCATACCAAGATTGATCAATGTAAAGCTCACACTCAGCAACTCTTATTTTGGGGGTATTGCAAGAAAGAATATATTTGCTTAAACAATCGGAAAATTTTAGGCCAAAGGAGCAGAAAAATGGATTACAGAGTATCAAATGGGCATGATTGACACCATCTAAAAAAGTAGAAAGAAACACCATTTGTCTGTTTTTGGGCAGATTTTAAGGTGATTCAACAAAATACTCATAATCAAATTTTAGTAACAGGAGTTATGTTAAACGTTGCAATAGCTGGTGCTTTATAGCAACATGGGAATATAATAAGACCACAGAGTTGTCACCTGAAGAATTTTGTTCTAATTAGCAAAAACCAAATTAAAAACAAAAAAATCAGACTCCAAAATTTGACTCCAAACTCCACTCCATAACTCCACTCCATACCTCCAGTCCATGAATTACACGGTGCCCATCAAAGCATATAAAGTTACCATTACTGTCAAATAAATCACCAACTACAATAAATCCCTTTTCATACAATGGCCTTGAAAAAACATACTTATTTTGAGTCATAATTTTATTATTATACCACAGAGGTTCCAACAAAATATCTCCTTGGTTCAAGTTACATGTTATAAGACTTAAGAATTCTGAAAATACATACAGTACTTCTTTCCAAAAGCTATTTTGTGTATTCTTTGCTTTAGCTTTTGAATATTCTGGCCCAAAATGGGACAGGTTTACAATATTACATTTTGTTATTTCAGTGAACAGTGGGATCCAACTAGACTTTGTAAATAGTAATCTTCTGATCCAAGTTAATTTTAAAGATTTAATAAAACAGTCAATATTGGTCATTTTAAGACCACCATTCTCTTTGGAAAGTTGCATTGTTATGAGATATTAACTTTTCATTTTTTCCAATTATTTTTTCGAATTAAATCTTTTGCAGTTTTGATGTTTCTTAGTACCAGATAGATAAGATACTTTAAAAACAAATTAAAAGTGTATATTATTTCTTCCATGGCCAATATAAGTGCATTCACATACCCTGAATTGGAGGTAAACATAATGTACACTCAATCTGTATCTTTAAATATTGATCTGCTTTTTGCAGGTTTGATTTTGAAACCAATTGATTATTCATTCGGAAAAATTAATATAAATAGAACCATAATCTTCCGAAGTTAAATGCAAACATATAATGTTCTTAATGGATGTAAATTTGTGCAAAGAAGTGGGATAATGACTCGATTGTTTGCCAAAGTCTCCTGTTACAGTTACTTTAAATTCAGTACGCAAAAGTCGTAAATATCTATCGGGTCTGCAGATCTTAGCGCCGGAAATGGAGCTGAACAAATGTGCCGAATTTGTCGAGGACTTACGACAAAAGATGTGTCCATGTTTTAGGCCTTCAAATGAGGAATACAGAGATTTTTAAAACACTTACACTTTTAAAGCGTACACCAACATTGAAGCTTAGTGTTGGTGAATAATGAATGATCTAAAAGTATGTTCAAGGCAATGACCTTCACCTCAGAAGTCAGTCAGATGTCCCTCGAATCGTAAACATTTATAGAGAATCAACAACACATGCTCCAGTAACATTTGGTTTTGACAGCATTTACAGCAGCATTTGAGGACTGTTGACAAATAAAAAAAAATTCTTGAACTGAACTCTATGAAAGGTCAGTTGATATAGTGGTTACCATGTGAAAGACCTATCGACCATGTGGTATGAAAAAGGTGTAAACAACTGTACCAAATAGAAAAGTTTTAATTCGGTTAATTTTGAAGACATCTTTCAAAAAGCACATGTGTCAGGGCTATTCGTTTGCACTTACGTGTCATGTTTTAATATTGAATTTACGGATAACAGTAAAAATAGATACATTTCTTTAACAGATGATGTTATCATTTGACAATGTATTTCTCTTTTCCAAATATTGTCTTGCTTTGTTAAAAAAAAAAAACTGCCATCAAAACAGCCAGTCATACTTAATGTTATATGTTTGCATGTTTTCTCTTTTAATTAAGGGCCTCATAATTCATATCTTTATTTTTTAAATTTCAAGGAATTCCTTTTCTAAAAAAAAACTTCTAGATGTCCAGAAACAAGTACAAGTGCATGCAGATGCTTGCATACATATTTACACATTAATGCATATGCGACCAAAATTACATTGGCTTCTCACATTTACCCAATTACAGTCTAAAAGAAAGTTTCATCTCAATCGATAGTTTCCGAGAACATCCGTGAACAAAAAAATTACCAGATAAAATAACTGCGTTTGGGGTATATATTACGTTAACTTGTTCCATTGGAAACTAGAGAAAATAATTAACAGTGACATGCCCCTTAAAATAGTCTCTCATTTACTGCATTACAGTGGCCTTTAACTTAATGATTTACGAAAATTACCAAATGAATTCCTTGTTTTTTACCGGAAAATTAGAGTGACATGATGCCATATTTTGACGGGGCACAGAGTGGTAAAACATTCATGTTTGAATGTCAAAAATGTTTATGTTCTCGACAGCCATCGTAATGAAATAAGTCTGTGTTAAAAAATTACAAAAAGTAATGAGAAAAGAGATTGCAGAACGAATAATTTTAGGACGTTGTCACCATTTTGACAAGGGCTGTTTAAATTAAAGATGGGAGATACAGAGAAATCAGACATGAATTCAAAATATTTGTTTAAAGAATTCTTTCCTAATGAGAATACAAAACGATAACACCCTGATGTTCGATCGTCTCTGGAAAATGTTTGACAATGAATTCATCATATGAATCCTCGTATTAATTTTTATCTTAATAACAGTAAATCACAAACAAGGAAAGCCATTTATAGATATAATCGATGAAAATAGGTCATGACAACGAAACCTAGAGGTAATTAAATGATAATTAGACTTTAATTGTTGACTGCTAGCGCAGTGTCTTGGAGGAGTGGAACTTGACAATGCCAGATACATTTAGAGGGCCGTACCTCAGTTGGAGCCCCATGAGTGGCAGAAACTGACTTTTAACCCAATGTGGTTATATATAGACCTGTTTAATGGCCTTGGAAATGTATATTGTCTTCATATCTGGGTCAGCGAGCAGTTAAATCTAGCAGCCGCCGCATGATGTTGGCAAATTATCTTATAAAGAAAAATTCTTAAAGAAAAAATTTCAACTTTGATCAGGGTGGACAAACAGTGAACTTTTTGAGGCGACGGGCGTGTTTGTGTACTCCAAGTTCGTGTGCCAGTATCTGTATTGACTCAAAACAAAGCATTGTTTATCTTAAAACGTACATTTTGCTAAGGTAAGAAAAGATTTAAATTCAGTTTGGTTGAGTCGGCTTTATTCTGCTTTTGTGAAGTGTCCATGACATGTATTTAAATTTATCCAGTGGAAAATAGATAGGGCCATGTAAGTATATTTGCCTTGAGATTTTCTAATCGATAAGGTTTTAGTGGACATGAAAGACAGGCCAGAAGTCACAGGAATCAAGTGCGGGAATCTTAGGATATGTATTTTTAGACAATTATAGATATCACGGTATCAGAGTTATTTATACGGGTGATGTACATGTACGTTTTGTAAGCTTCCAGACGGGTCAAGGCTGTGTATAGTATGATAACTGATTACTGATAAAAGTTCGTCTCTCTACCTGATAATTTATTTTGAATGTACAGAATTTTTTGTCATTGATTTTTTTCTAAAATAGACGAAATGATTTACAAGATTTATATTCTTTAATTATGGTATACACCTACAGCTGTACATGTACATTTGTATTTACTTTCTATGAGGACAATAAGCAAGTTTACCCCCCCCCCCCCGACAGCAACTATTTCCTGAGGCACAGCCGAGGGAAATGCCGTGTAGCTACTGGACAGTAAATATTTGCTTTTGTCCGAATAGTCGGTAAATCGGTGTTTTATTATACCGAAGCAGACCTTGTGTCATGTCAAGATCCGGATAAAACGAGAAGAGTTCCGAGATGAAACGCGAGGGAAATGGAATGCTGCTGATGAATAGTTCGATGACTATGTAGCATAAAGACTATTCTAATGTATAAGCTGTTTAGGAAAAAAGGCAGATTTTTTGGTCATATAAAGAAAAAATCACAGAGGTATCATAATCTTTCTCTTCAACGAAGTCTCTCATGTCGTTTAGGACTTTAATGCAGGGAATGAACTATATCGTACAATTTGATCGGTCACACTTCTGAGCGGAATGAACACTTGCCCCAGATAATGTCAAGTAACACGCTGTCGGTGCCCTGATATTAACTCTTTCATAATGAAATGCGCAAAATGGAAAGATGATGCCCCTATTGATTTTTTGACCCAATTTCTCTTGCTATTATGCAAAGACTTCTGGAGATAAGAATCCCACTGGTGTTTTTTAAAGTAACAAAATTCACACTGAAGTTTTATGTATAAAAAGACATCGGCTGAGAGCATTGTATTTATCTGCACCACCATGCGGGATACTATCACAAAATATTGACAGTGAATTACAAGCCTTTCCAGATGCATCGGTGATTTTAGTTACATATAATATTATATAATGCCTGATTCTGCCAATATTGTGTTGGATAGCGCATCTTTTCGTTTTATACAGCTAGAGCCCTCGGTTCTGTTTCTTAATTTAAAATTCATGAATACTGAGTGACAAAGACTAATAACAGCCTAACGAAAAAGTTTGAATCGGTGTTTTGGTATGCTTATTTAATTACAACTGCAAGTTGTCTCTGCATGGATAAATATGCCCAAATTGTCAAGGAAAACATTAGTTATAAAAATATACTATGTTATCCACGTGTGTTGCTGAACTCGCAAACATTACTTTTCTTCCTTCGCAGCGTCAGAAGAAAGATAACGTAAATTTGACGCATGCTTGAGATTCCTGCGCCTGCTCAATCTCCTGGAAAACACTATAATATTCCATCTCAATCAGGGTCCGACTCGTCATCAGTCTGCTTTTATTAGATATTCTCACGATCGACATTTTGAACAAGTCCCACTGGTTTCTTTCTGTGCCACATTCTTTCATTTTTAATTTTTGCATGTTTCAACTATGATGTCAATATTTTTTTATATTACAATGAAAAATTTGTATCAAATAAGCCTAGACATTTCCTTAGGCTTGGTTGACCTAGATTGAACCGGTCATGAGCATCAAGGATTGGAGCAGGATACAAAGGATTTTCCTTGAGTAATGAATTGCAGTAGATTGTCGAAGAATCACAACAAACACAAACAACACACACAAACCAAAACACCACACTTATAAGATTACTTGAAGATTAAGTGTATTTGTATGATAATTTAGTCAGATGTAAAGTAATTATGATAAATTAGTCAGTGCAAAGTATTGTATGATAAATAAGTCAGTATAAGGTATTGCTTGAAAAATCAGTCAGTATAATGTTTGATAAATTATTCAGGGTTAAGTTTTGTACGATAAAGAAGTCAGTATAAAGTATTGTATGAAAAGTAAGTCAGTATAAAGTATTGTATGACAAATTCGTATAACTTACGATAAATTAGTCAGATGTGCAGCTAACTGTATTGTCATGCAGTCAACTCTCCATCACTAATACTGATACGTTTGTAGTAGTGCTGTACTGCAGTGCACGAGAAAGAACAATAGTGGCAATAACTACAATATATTTGTTTTCCTTCCATTTTAATGAAATAAAATATTTTGATCGGGAGAATGGAAGTATCCCAATCTAGATGTAAAGATTATCCCCTACCGACTACTGTAGGTATTTCTGTTATAGACGTAGTACTGATGTTGCTTCCATTTACATATTTAATAAACTAGACGTGTTATATGCTTTTCGGACGCTTATTTAAAGACCCTCTATACACTGAATACACCCTAAAAGTTCCTTGGTATTTTTCTGCATTTAAGAGTGATCTAAATTTAAATCTGAAGTAAATTAAAATCTACAATGTTTCATTCAATTTTTAATCAATTCAAGCATTCTTAAGATTTTATTAGGCCAAGATTAATTTCTTGAACTCTTCATTTGCGTGTCATTTTCCAATTTAAGTAAGCAACAGCGATTTCCATTCATCAAGACTTCGTTGTCTTTGAATATTTTTCCTGGAGTTCTATGACTTATACTCTATGTTTGAAATGAAATAGATAAACTTAGTATTTGTACCTTTATACGCGTATTTTTCTCAATGTCCAAAAACAAAAAATCATCACTGTATAAAGCTTCCTTATTAGAATTCCGTCAGCAACAAATAGGCTGATTTATGGACCACATATACGTAAGCAATTCTCTCTTAAACGGAAACAACAATATATCTAACAACCGGTGCTTTCCCAGGAGTGTTATGTAATTAATGAAATTTAACAGGTAGTTCTGTACCATTATTGATTTTTCATTTACAAATGATACATTTTGAAATTTATGCTTTTAATGGTTTCTTCATTCGCGAATAATATATACCAAGTTGGATATTTTCTTACATATGTTAAATCAGAACATTAAATGGATTTAATGACAACTTCTTACTGCATTCTAGAAGAAAAATTTGATGCTTTTGAAAAGCTGCTAGCTGCAGAACTGTAGCGTTATGGTTTTACATAAAAGTCTTTAAATACAACGTTATGGTCAAAGACTATTATATAAAGCCATAACGCTACAGTTCTGCAGCTAAAAAGCTGCATGAGGAATTAAAATGACTTGGTCTGTCAATGGTCACGGAGCGTCCAATAGAAATAGTTCTCCGAGATATCGATTGGATTATAGTACGTAGGATATAAAACTGTTCTCTTTATATTTCAGAGATGAGTTAAGACGGTCGTTCTGCCAGAATGGATTCAGACATAGAGACAGACACGGATAAAAGAGACATCGTTGTCATCATACGATGTGTTCTCGTTGTCATCGTGGGTGTCATCTGTGTTTTCGGAAACCTGCTCGTTATCAGAACTCTCATCTTTTTCAAGTACCCGAAAATTCCCATGTATGTAGCAATAGGAGGCTTGGCTGTTGCGGACATGGTGCGCGCAATATTTGGAGCACCATATTTTGTTATAATTTGGACAAAAAACGGCAGCAAAATTCTTACTGCAGATTGGTGCAAAGCAGTGTCTTATCTGAGTGATGTAAGCATGTATGTAGCGGCCTGTCATTTAGTTGGACTGAGTGTGATCCGTTGTATTTTACTGAACGACAGAATGCATGTGCATTCGTATGTGAAGCATGCCGTTATTGGATCCTTGATAATTTGGGTAGTGATTCCCCTGATGAATATTCCCGGGATAAAAACGTCTTCCAAGAGTATGGGGGTGTGTGTTGAAGTTGACACAGACTTAGAAACTACAACAGAGCGGAATCAGTGGTTACGACTGACGTTTTCCTACGGTTTGCCTATTCTAGTCATTGCTGTGGTTTATTTTTTAACTTACTACTTTTCGAAAAAGTTCTTTGCAGAGAGTTACTCGAGGAGGGAGCGTCGTCTTTCGAGAATGGTTACTCTGCTGATTTTGATTTGGGCAGTGTTTAAACTACCATATGAAATTACACGTATGATAACATTTTACAGATCTCGAAGGTTGGAGCAATTGCTTACAAACACACCGCCCTCGGAAGTATTAGAGTACGAGGATGAGTTCGAGAAATATCTCAATCTTGAAAAAGTGGACAAAATTATGGAATGTGTTTCGTTGGTGGATTTGGCAGCGAGACCAATAATATATAATAAGTTTTCATATTATTTTAGCAGAAGCTTTAGTGAGGTAATTAACTGCACAAATTGTCAAAACTCCAAGCCGTCAAAACGTTCCTACAGGAAGCAGCGCAGCGCCGACAGCAACAGCACGAACGTCACTGACGTTGTGGAGGCGCCGCTCAATGTGTCAAGTATGGAGAAGTTTACCGGAAGTGAAGATGAACAGTTTAATAACAATGTTACGGACATGGATTCTAAGCACCAGGAACCGGAAGCGTCAGGAGAGGACGAAATTATTGTTTTGCCGCCAGACGACTTCGTGGAAAAAATGTTGTCATCAAAAATATAGTAATGGATCTCTTATGTTTGCTGTGAAATTGCCTTGTTCATCTGATGTATATACTCAGTTTCTGTGTCATTTCCTCAAGTGTATTTCATATTTTGTAAATAAGTGCATCCCGGTATATAAGTACGAATTCCTCATGCCTTAAACACGAGATACCTCATCTATATCTACATGCTCAACTTTTACTGTAGTTGGATATTTAATATGTAATGTAACTTGTACAGTGACCCTGTGTTGTGAGGAATGGCTTACATTCTCTCCATTTCACCTCATGAAGCTGACGTAAACTGATATTTATCTACAATGACGGAGAGGAAAAAGAGTTATTCACCGGCTCTTTATTTGTCGCTAGATTTAATTTAAACATTATACATGCAGGCCTGAAGGATCAGGGGTGGGGATGGGGCATGGGAGCGTGGCCCGCAATAATTTTGGCAATATATACTTTACAGTGCTATAGAAAAGAAAGTTAAATTACATTTGAAGAAGTGTAACCCTGTGACCTGTTAGTACCGAGCCTCAATATTTAGTGGCCTTGGCAGTCCTTGTTAAGTGGGTTTTTTTTTCTGGCATTGGATTTCAGCTCAAGTGACGGGAAATCTTTCAATTGGATAAGGTGACCATTTGTTAAATGTAATGTATTACTTGCTTTAGCAAGAAACATCACCGTACAAATGTGCCAGGTATTTTCATTCATCATGCAACCTGTCGTTCAAATCACGGGCAATCATGTTCACCTTCATTTGCATGTTTTAATAGTGACATTTGTATTTTGAACGGTAGAAATAACCTTGTCTCGTAGAAGAAAATGCTCTAGTTTTTGAGAGGTTTTTAAACGACAAAGTTTAGAAGTTTTACATATTTTTGTAAAAAACTAAATTGAATGGCATTTTTGATATGATATGGCTTTAAGTAAAATTGTTGATTGTACATTTTAGTACAAAATGCAGTGCTGGCGAAAATATAGGGCATATATTCCAGAGTATATTTGTTGTGTTACATTTTTCAAGACTATTCACCTGCGTAATTGAGAGAATTTTTGTTATTGTTCAATTCCTCTCTGCAGTTGAAACTCTATATTCCACTTTTAGCTTACTTAAGCCAGGGGCTCTAATGAGATTTCTTGTCGATTGTTTTGTTATCTATCTGTGTTACATTTATATAATTTTTTTTCTGGAGCCACTTAACAAATGTCAACCAAGCTTTGCAGAAAGTACATAAGCAAGTGAATTGAAGATGCTCCGACTCGCCAGATCCTGTCTAGATTGGAGGTTTCTGAACCAGAATTAACGAATTAGGGGTTTCTTGACCAGAATTATTGTAACAAAAAAAATATGGATCCTTCTTGTGAAGGCCAACAATGAAATTATGGTCTTTTGATGATGCTAGCGCACGTTTGTCCGTTTTAAACAAGGCATGATTAACATGTCTGTATAGATCTAAAATTTTATTTCAGATACCAGTACAACCTTTTAAATTGTTATGGACATGTATGCTTGATTTTGAGTATTTTATTCTTATAAGGGTGGGATCTGTGTTGAAACAAATTCAGTAATTACCATGACAAAAATCACCTAAGATAATCGAGCTTTGTGGTCCATGAACTTTCTATCTAAGAAAGAGGTTATAATTTGTACGTCATAGAAGATTATTTGAGAATTTTTGAAAGTTTACTAACTTCTGTCTGAGAAGTTTTTGCAACTCAAAATATAGTATACGACGGGTAAAATTCATGAGCTGGTGAAGTTGTCACTGTCATTCTTTTTTTTTAGTCAAGAAAATTATGTTTCGTTGTGTAAACCGTGTAACGTGTTTGAATGTTTTTCATTTTGAATGTTCATGTCACCGCTCAATTGAAATAAAATTAAAAAATACAAACTGTTGTATTCACTAATGGTCATTATTTTGAAAACCACGTAAATTACTGTTAATATCCTTTGAGATTTAGCTGAGTGATTTGAAAGTTTTGCAAATAAATATGCACCCTTACCTATTAAGTCAACCTTGTGTTAAGGTCAAGATTAGGCTATATAGGTCTACCTCTCTCAACTATTAAATCAACAACGCCTGCAATTGCTCGCCATCTTGGACTTCGCCTGGGACCTCTTACAGACTTAATCGAAGGAATTCTTGTGTCAGTGGGGCTGCTCATCAGCACCAGGTACTATAATTAATTCAAATAATAAATCCAGCACCATTCCGCTGCATTATCGCGTTTTTTCTCCGACATCCGCTCTCGGCCTGAAGTAGGCTAGTCAATTTTCGACAACTCTTAAGATGACTACGAAAACAAGCGCATTAGCAATACTAGTTCCCTACCGGCAAGTGTAATCTGGTTCCCGTTAAGAATTGAAAATGCCATGATTCCGTCAAAAATCAAGGAAGCAGGACGAAATGCAAACTTGATCTATAACTAATCAAGGTAAAGTCACATACCAAAAATCAGCTCAATATCTGAAAGCGTTTAGAAGAAAATTGCGGAAAACCCCTAAAAATTGAAAAGGCCGTAATACCGTCAAAAATCAATGAAGCGGAACGAAATGCACACTTGATCTGTAACTCATCAAGATACACTCACATACCAAAAATCAGCTCAAAATCTGCAAGCGTTTAGGAAAAAAATGCGGAAAACCAAGTGGGACAGACGGACAAACAGACGGACTGACAGACTCAGAGGAAACCTATATGCAGGTGTCATAACAGTATTTCACTTGAGGTTCACGTCAAATCATGGCTGACGCAAAATAATTCCTGAATCTTCCCTTCCGATTCGGGCATTTTAACACGAGACTGGAGCTGAATTTTTTTATGAGATGAAAAACAATATGTAAACTTCCTGTATTGACTAGATTCATTATAATTTAGGGCGTGCTGATTTTTCTATATACTGTATTTGAGTGGGGAGTGATTAGGTCCTGGACTTGATTTTCAAGCACCTGCTCGACTTCGACCGAAACAAACTTTGGTACTAAAATCTTTATAAAGAATTGTTTTACAAGATCTGAAAAGGAAACTTCTCAAAAGTTTGTTTTCAATTAATACCACCTACTCAAAGTTGCGCATTTTTGGTAAGAATATATAGCAAAATTTAATACTGTTGTGCAACCTATAGTCCCCTCCGGTTTCACCGGTAGGGGACTAATAACATTGATACGCGCGCGCGAAAATTCAAAAATATTTAGTATTCATGTATGCAATCGTCGCATTTTATGAGAATAAGAAAGTTCCATCAATTATATTTTTGCAGTCTGATAAAATTTAAACTAAAATGATCATGCACTTGTTTTTCTTTTCCAAATTTGGAAATAATCTACCTCAGATTCATGCCCAAATAATTTATGTAAAGTTCTATAAAATGTTTGCATCATTTTATTCTGTTAATTTTTTCACGTGTCGTAAAAACATGTTAAGGGCACTGAACTATTTTGTGATAAAATTGATCATTTTCAAAAGCTCGTGCTGTATAATTCTGTTTAATACCGGTGTTAAAGAGCAGGATTTCCCCCATAGCCAGCTTTCCCCCCAGGAATTTATACTCTGGAGTAGCCCCCCCCCCCCCCCCGGCAGGGAAAGCTCACTCTGGAGCCAAATTTCCCCTCTTTCTTTCTCAGAGTAGGATTTCCCCTCTTTTATCAATGCTTAAGTTACATCGACAATATTTTGGCTGAAAGTTTATATGAAAGTCAACTGATTTTTTAATCAGTGTTTTCGGCTCAAGAATTGTCAAAGTTAATTTGAAATCTTAAAATATATAGTTCAAATCATTTAGTCTCAACCCAAAACTCATAGGAAATTGTAAAATTAGTCACTCAGAAAATCTTAAGACGAGATGTCTCGACGCCATCCCTCGACGCAGCGGTAACTGTTTGTTCAAGAATTTCAAAGTGTATATAGGGCCACCTTTAGTGACTTGAAAATTTGTTTGCCTCCAAAGGCCCCGTATTTTATCTACGGATCGATCCTTTTAATAATGAGTGTGAGAAAATCCTAAAACTTATGTTACTGATAGATTCCACATACCATTTTGTGAGTATATGAAACGAGTAGTTCTAAAGGGAAAAGGGGGGGGGGGGCTAAAACCAAAAATACAAGAAACAATTTTACTAGCTGAAGCAAAAGTATGTCCCCTCGACCCCAGCGGTGTAATACTGGATTAGAAACCAGAGAGGAAATACTCTCTTAATGTTCTGCAAAATTTCAAACTTTCAGAAATGAATGACCCGTTTTTTAGTTCCATGGCAGATATTTTGGATATTTTAGAATCTTGAAGAGACATATCAAAATTATGTACATGAAATATGAAGATAACGAACTGTAATCAAGCTCAAGAGTCCATTGAAAAAATACAAATTGGGAGCAGAGCAAACACGAACCTATAAAAAACATCAGAGGTGGGATCAGGCGCCATGGAGGAGTGAGCATCCCCTGTAGACCGGTCACACATACCGTGTGCACTTTGTAATGATCGGGCAAACGGAAAAATCCATATACATTCATTTGAAGAAAAATGGTCTTACAATGTAGAATACAATCGGAGAAAAAAAATCCATTTAAATTAAAATTCCTTTTTGTTTCCATGGATACGGTTAAAATTTGTCCAACCCATTACATTGTACCAAATTTTTCATAAACCAGGTTGACCAGATGAAAAGAATTAGATTTTAATGCTTCAAAAGAATTGGTTGGCCAGTTACTGAGAAAAATGAGTTTTAAAAATTTTAATTTTCAAATTTTGTATGTTTCAATGGAACTGGTCCTCATTTTGAAAAAGGGACAATTGTAACAATGTGTCTCCTCTCGTTCTTAATTACAACCATGATATTTTATTGGAGGGGGGTTGGCTGTGGGGGAAATCGCACTCTATAAAACAGAGTAGGACCCCCCCCCCCCCGGAAAAATTGAATTTGATGTGCGATTTCCTACACTAGAGTCATTTTTCCGTTGGGAAAATCCTACTCTAGACCCTATTTTCCGAGGGGAATTCCTATTCAAGAGCCAGTTTTTAATGGGAAAAGATATTAGAGGGGAAAGCTAACTCTACAAGACCATTAATAGCCTTAGCCTGTAGCTACCAAATGTTCATATGAAGAAATAATTTGAATTAGTACATTTAGATGATCAATATCTAGAATGCTATTCAGATCAAAATATTTTAGGTATATTGATATTCGGTATATACATGATAAATAAGATGTCAGTAACAGCAGTAGGAAAACATGTTTCAGATGATTTATTTATGGTGGACAACAGCTTTGGGATTGTTTTCTGAATGAAAATGCTATGGTTATCTAATTTCATTTGTTAAAAATTAATATCAAACTGATATCATATCAGGTGAAGTTGATCAACATAGAATATTTTTTCAGAACCAGAAGCAAGTCAGTGAGGGAAATGTTTAAAATGATGTTTATGTTTATATATATATATATATATAAATATATATATATATATATATATATATATATATATATATATATATATATATATATATATATATATATATATATATATATATACTCCTCCGAAAAGCTTTAGAAGTTTCATTTAAAATCTTCGCTTCGCTCCCTGCAAACCCTTGGCAGGTTACGCGACTAAAAGTTGTTTCTTCCAAGCTAGACCCTAGGAACCAATGGGGACACTGCTTTCATGTTGCATTACGTCAGTTATAAAAACAACAGACGAACAATCATTTATAAATACTTTTGCTGCTCCGTTTTCTTGTACATACGTGAACATTACTAGTATATTCTCACTTCATTTTCATCTTCTTCTTTGATAAACCTTTGTAGTTCTTGTGGTTCTTAAGTCTTTGCTTTCGTGTACATCCATTTCCATTTCTTGTTTACAATGGACACCAAACTGCAATTTGAAAACTTTTACATGAGTGGCTGGAATCCAGCGTTAAAATTAAGTGCATCCAGAAGATGTCGCTTAAGTCGGCCACGGTTTTAGTTGTGTAATCTGCCAAATGTGTGAACTGAAAACCCTTGGCTCGCATTGATTGAAGAAAATAATCTGGCCAGCTTGGAAATAAATATTCTATCCTGCGAAGGCATGAAAATAAATACTAGTAAATTGACTCGAGACTAAAAAAAATGACTCAAGACTAAATGCAGGGAATAAGATTGGTTATATCGCTCACATTTTGTTCAGTGGGTGCTCATATTGTAAATTTTGAATTAACCCGGTGGCAGTTATTTTAAAAAATTACAATATGACAGTTTTGTATTTACTGCCACCCGGAAAATTCAAAATTCACAATATGAAAATATGCTCAGCGTTTACGTTCTTATCGCGATCTGCGTTTGCACTTGCATGTACTGTAGTAGTTCATAGTTTGTTCATCATAAAATTTCGTTCTGCACTCCTTCAGCGTTAACAGTTTCCACAGTATTTATATAAAGTTCTAGAACATAACAGGGACAATATAATGATCGACCTTATACTCTAAGGACACGAAATCGACCCTAACAGCACCTTAACATGATCTATTTTTGTTGAAATGTCCAGTTACTGGTATTTTCCTCTTCTAGCTTTAGGTCAGACAAAACTGAATATTATAAATTACCTCGCTATCATGTTGTAAGGACAAAGGCAGCAAGAAAGAATCAAGTTTGGGAGGACAGCTGGAATTTTTATAGATCCCAATTTAAGACGAGAACATAAAAACAAGTCTACAAGTAGTAATAAAGTTAACTCATCATTTTACCATCAAAATTGGCTCTTATGTCAGACATAAGTTTGATTATTTTTCAAATGAAGTCTTTTTTCATTAAAACAATAACAGCAACAACAAAACAATAGGCCTAAATGTCATAAAGAAGCACGCAAAAAAGTATCTGCTTAGGATTTTTTTTAATATTTGGATTTTACATTTTGTCGTTGATCTATGCTGTTTTCGTTGATCCTAGATGATAACGTCGACGTTAGTAATTAATCATTTACACTGGCAGTTTACTTATGTATAAGTATGTACCTTGTAGAGCCAAAAACAATATCAGGTGAAATAATTGCTTCGCAATATGAAAATTTACTTGTAGAATGTAGAATTTAAAACACTTAACTATTATCATATGGCAAAGACAGATTCCTCTTCATATCTCCATCTTCAACCGACCATGTTCAAGGGACAGCAAAGGTCTCCGGGGTGTGAGAGAAATAAACACTTTAAAACAGATAAAAACATGCTTCAAAGTATCTCACTAATTGATTTGGAAAACTTGTTGGAAACCTGTTGTAATCCTGACCTAGGTCAGATGTTTCTTAAGTGACAAAATGGTAAATTTACATTGATTATAGGTCTTCCCCGCTATAATTTAAAACCAAGAAGGCTTACAACTTCGCAAGCCAAAGATTTTCGGTTTTTGCTTCCCATAAACCCTTGGCAGATAAAATCGTGGCCAACTTAAGAGACATCTTCTGGACGTACTAAATCTTTACTCTGATTCCAGCCAATCAGGTAACAGTTTTCAAATTGCAGTTTGGGATCCATTGTAAACAAGAAAGTTGTACACGAAAGCAGAGATTAAAGAACTACAGGAACTATAATTAAAGGTTTATCAACGGAGGAAGATAAATATGGATTGAGAATATAATATTTACGTGTGTACAAGAAAACGGAGCAGCAAAACATTTATAGATGATTCTTTTTCTGTTGTTTTTATAATTAACGTAATGCGACATGAAAGCAATCTTCTCATTGGTTCCTAGGGTCTAGCTTGGAAGAAACAACGTACCAGCCACAGTTTTAGTGGCGTAATCTGCTAAGGGTTTGTGGCGAGCGAAGCGGACCGAAAACTCTTCGTCTGCGAAGATGATTTTCAACACTTTATTCAACCATTTCCCACAATAAATTAAAGTCCAGACTTTTTGATATCATTGACAGTTGCTTTTTCAATAAAAATGGAACTCGTAAATTTACCTACCTTATTATTGGTCATTTGTAAAATAATTTTGTTAAAACATTCTGATTGTACATACAAGTACTCTGAAATTGACATTAAAAAGGTGCTCGAGTTTCTGATTGGCAATATGTAGTTTTTGGAGATCATGTCTTTCAACAATCAGTCGTTATTCCGATGGGTAACAATTGCTCCTCGTTACTAGCAGACCTACGAAGCAGAATTTACAAGAGAAGAAGAAACACTTGCTGTGGCCTTTAGGTCTTCAAGTCGACATTTAGATATATCGACGACGTATTATCAATTAATAATTGTTACTTCCATTCATATGTCGACTCAATATATCCCAGTGAGTTTGAAATTAAAGATACATGTACCAAAGACGTTAATGGTAACCTAACAACCAAGCTTAATGATAAACGTGAAGACTTCAACGCTTCAATCGACAACTTCCCTTACTTATGTGGCAATATATCTCCTGCATATGGGGTTTATGTCTCTTAGTTGATTCGATACGCAAGAGCATGCTCTACATGAATGGCAAGCTATTGACAGGCATGTTGATGAAACAGTCTCGTTTAAAGTCATCATTTCGCAAGTTCTATTGTGGAAACAATGCCCTTGTCAGCAAATACAATCTATAATTAGTAATAGTAATGCACATCATTGCACATTAAGTTGTATCAATTAAGAGTATAGATATATCTTAAATCAAGACAACCTATGTCTACATGTGAAACTCAAAACACCACCAATGTACTAAATGGGAAGGATTGCTCTTCATTATATGTTGTATTCTGTCTGTTATCTGTAATTATACATGTAATATGTTTATGCCCATTGGGCCCTGATTTGGTAATAAATCCTATTCTATTCTATAATTAAGTCAAATACTGACTGAAGTGCTAATTGTTAGGCCATTATTTACACACTGAATTGTCTACGGATTTTCCCGTTTTTCCCGATCATGACAGGGAGCACACGGCGGATGTGATCTGATGGCAGGGGATGCGCACTCCTCCATGGCACCTGATCCTCCTTCTGATGCTATAGAGGTCCGGATTGCCTCTGCTCATTATTTTTATTGTTTAAATGGACTTTTGAGCCTGAATACTGTTCGTTATCTTCATATTTCATTTCTTCAGTACCTTACCTTCACAATTATACATACTAGTTTATCAAATTAAAGTAGAATGAGTAATATGTACATTTGCTCTAATATACATGTATGGTGGCGTATTTCTGCCCCTACATGCAAGATGAATTATGTCAACATGCAAGATAATTATGTCTATATGGAAGAACATTATTGTATCATGCATATAACCCATCCTTTGAGAGAATCTGATTTTAATATGGGTAAAGATCTTTACTTACTAAAGCCAGTATCTGACGTCAAACACAGTGACGTAGCATCGTTTTTGAAAGTGGGGGGCCAAACCGAGGAAAAAATTTTCAACTTACCTGAAAAAAAAACTTGACAAGCAAGAAAAAAAGAAAAATTGTGCAAACTCGAAAAATCCTATTTCGTTTGGGGTGGGGAGGGGTGGGTGGGGGGGGGGGGTTAGGTTCCAACTCCTTTTAGTACCAATTTTTTTTTTACTCAAACACTGCATTCCCCGTATATTACCCTTATTTGACAATACTGCAACCAAAAGGGGGGGGGCAACCGGTCTTTCAATGAACATTTCCTATGGAAAAACTTATGTCTGGAAAAAAGTGGGGGGGGGGGCAGGCCCCCCCCCCCAATACTACGTGCCTGATACATGCAAGAAGCAGCGAAATTATGTTAATGTACGACTTATTTATGTCAGTATGCAAGATAATTATGTTGACATGCGACTTATTTATGTAACATTTAAAGTTGATAGGAAAATCGTTCATTTTAAAAGGGAAGCTTAGCAAAAATGAGTTGCATGTCAAGATGATAGATTGACTCTCTAGTCTTTACAGTAACTGGTGTATAATCGATGCTTTTTGTCTGTGATTTTCTTTTTTCTTGCAGTGAATTTACAGAGGGTCATTTTTCCTTTTCCTCTATATCAAAATATCAACGATTGTTCTGAATATTTCAAATGTTTAAATTAATTTATTTCTCTGCCCTGAGCAAATAACGGATCCGTTCAAAACTTTAGCAAGTTTGTCACAAGCCGTGGGTGATATTAAGGCTGATCTATGGGAACAGGATGGGTTTGAAGACAAGATACAATTCATTGCACAACAACAAGAAGACAGTATAGCGGAGATAGACAGTCTAAAATCTGAAAATGCATCCCTACGTAAGGATATTGAAATGCTAAAATCTGTTGTAATCAGACTTGAAAGAAGAGTCACAGAACAAGAAAAGGAAATTATTGATCTAAAGGGACGATCCATGAAAAACAATATCCTTATACATAACCTGGAAGAAGAAGAAGGAGAAGATCTATTCAGCAAAATTCCCCGCCTGCTTCATGAAAATCTAGAAATAGAAGGAATAGAGTTTGCTAATATCCATAGGAATGCGGGTGACAGAAGGCAAGGAGGTAAGCCCCGAGCTATAACAGGCCGGTTGGTGAGATTTGAGAATAAAGATCGTATATTGAAGCAGCAGAGAAAAAAGAAAGATGAAGGTGTTCAACTACCGTTCTACATCACACCTCAGTCACCCGTTCAAGTAAATGAAACGCGTAAAAAGCTGGTGGAACTAAATAGTAAATATTGGAGTGAAAATATCAAAACGAGAGTTGTTGGAGACAAGCTTGTTTTTCCCAATGGGTCTGTTTACCGAGATAAAGTAAATACACCAAAAGCAGAAGAAATTTTACAAATTGACCAGAAAGAACAGCAGAAGCTAGAGGAAATCGAAGTTAAACGCTCCAACACTCTCTCAGAATCAGGAAATCAAATTAGCGCAGCTGCAGTTGAGGTAGAGACATATGCAAAAGTTCGGAACTTCTATAGGAAAATTTCCATGGATCCAGTTTATGGGCGTGCCAATCACAATATACTGGTATACCGTTTTAAAGACAATTCTGGGACTATACATGACGGATACTGTGATGACGGCGAATTTGGAGCTGGAAGGAAAATGCTTAAAATTCTGCAAGATCAAAACTTGACAAATGTGTCCGTTGTGATATCGCGCATGATGGGAAAGCATCTTGGTCCGAAACGCTTCGATATAATGGAGAAAGCGTTATTTGACGCCCTCAAAGAACTTTTGTAGACTAAAAGTGTGTTCAGGTGTCCGCAATACATTTTTTTTTTTAAACAGTTTGTTGTAGAACTAGTTTTTGCATTTTCTTTTTCCCGGATTGAGCAATTCTGCTCTGAATCCGTTTCTTATTTATAGTGTAAATTTCGGGAAAAATAGGTTTATGTTCGTTCCCGATTCTTCAATTACCGACCATAGAAGTGTTTCCGGTATTAAACTGGCACTGAACTTTTAAAGGTAAACAAATAAAAATAAATACTCTGATTATCGATCTTTAAAACTCTTTCAACTATGCATTTGCAACTTTGTTTCGTACAGGTACATACTTTTTTCTTTCTTTTCTTTTTGTTTTGTTTATACAGTCTTTTTTCTTTTTTGTTTACATTTGTGAGTGAATGTGTGTTTATGAGAGAATACAATAGTCATGTAGTTGAATATTTCGTTTGGAGGCTGCCTAAGTTTTACAGATCAGTTTTCGTTGATGAGTGATAATATAAAAATTGTAACGGTGAACTGCCAAGGTCTAGCGACTACTCAGAAACGACAGGATGTCCTTAACTATTATAGAAAAAAGTGTTACTCTATTTTATGTCTGCAAGATACACATTTTACCTATGAAACTGAACCATTTGTAGAAGCTCAGTGGGGTTATAAGTGCTATTTTAGTTCATATAAATCTAATTCACGAGGAGTAAGTATTCTTTTTAACAACAATTTTGAATTTAAAATCCATAGAGATAAGAGAGATAAGGAAGGAAATTTAATTGCTCTTGATATTACCATTGAAGACAATAGGTTAACCCTGGTAAATGTATATGGACCAAATACTGACTCTCCGGAATTTTATGAAAAGATTCGAGATATTTTTCTAGAATTTGACAACGAATATTTTGTACTATGCGGTGATTTAAATCTTGCTCTTAATCCAGAAATAGATACATATAATTATGCAAATGTTAATAATCCAATGGCTCGCGAAAAATTGATAGAAGTTATGGAAGATTTACAAATGATTGATTATTACAGGATTTTAAATCCAGAAAAGAAAGTGTTCACATGGAGGAAAAAAAACCCTGTCAAACAAGGCCGTTTAGATTATATTTTAATATCTGAAGGTCTATCTAATGTTGTTGAAGAATTCACTGTTAAACCAGGGTACAGGTCTGATCATTCTATTGTTGTTTTAGAATTAAAATTCAATCCCTTCATTAAAGGTCGTGGTCTATGGAAGTTTAATAATAGTTTACTGAATGACAAGGTATATGTTGAAAAAGTGAAGCAAACTATAGAAAGGGTTAGGGGTCAATACTTACAAAACATAAATGACATTGAAAGAAATGCTATTCTTGTTGAAAGTATGGATGACCGTTTATTCCTTGAAATTCTTCTTATGGAAATACGGGGAATAACTATTTCTTATTCTTCATTTAAGAAAAATGAGAGAGAGAGGTTAGAAAAATCCTTATTAGGAGAAATAGAAAGATTGGAAACAAATAATGATAATAATAATAATACAGATATTTTGGAAGATAAAAAAGCTACCCTTGAAAATTTAAGAAAAGTTAAAATGCAAGGCCATTTAATCAGATCACGTGCTCGGTGGGTAGAAGAGGGTGAAAAACCAACAAAATATTTTTGCAATTTAGAATCAAGAAACTATATTAATAAAATTATTAAAAGGGTTGAGATAGATGAACAACATACTGTTTATGATCAATTTGAAATTTTAAACCAAGTTAAATCTTTCTATGAAGATCTGTATTCAAATAAAGAGTCAGAATGTATTGATATGGATTTAACTGATATTATTGATCCAGCTGAAGTTAAAAAACTTGACGAGATGACTTCTAATAGTCTTGAGAATGATATAGAAGAAAGTGAAGTTTTAGATGTACTTAAGAATATGAAAAATAATAAGTCACCAGGAAGTGATGGTTTTACTGCTGAGTTTTTCAAATTCTTTTGGATAGATTTGAAATGTTATATTTTAAATGCAATTAATTGTATTTTTTCAAAGAAAGAACTTCCAATTTCTCAAAGACTTGGGATTATCTCCTGTATACCCAAAGGTGATAAACCAAGACAGTTTTTAAAAAATTGGCGTCCAATTACTTTATTAAATGTCTTGTATAAACTTATATCTGGATGTTTAAGTTGTAGAATAAAGTCTACTCTAGAATTTCTTATTTCTGATACACAAACAGGTTTCATTAAAGGTAGATATATAGGGGAAAATACCAGATTTATTTATGACTTAATGTCTTACACAGAGTTAAATAATATTCCTGGTCTGTTGATGCTAATTGATTTTGAGAAAGCATTTGACTCAATTTCATGGCCCTTTCTGTATAAAGTTTTAAAGTATTTTGGTTTTGGAAAGAACATTATCGACTGGATTAAGATCCTAAATACAAATTTTAAAGTTTCAGTTTTACAATGTGGATTTTTATCAGAACAATTTTCTATTCAAAGAGGTTGTAGGCAAGGAGATCCTGTTGCTCCCTATTTGTTTCTCCTTTGTGCTGAAATTTTGGCTATTCTCATAAAACAAAACAGAGATATAAAAGGTATAATAGTAAATGAAAAAGAACACAAAATCTCTCAATATGCAGATGATACCTCGCTTGCCCTTGATGGTTCACCAAAATCTTTGTTTGCTGCTCTTGATACATTGGATTTATTTTCACAAATATCCGGTTTAAAGATAAACAGTTCAAAGACAAAAATTATTTGGATTGGCTCAAAAAAATTTTCAAGTCAAGTTTATCATCATTCAAGATGGAAACTAGATTGGGGATCCACAACTTTTAATTTGCTTGGCATAACTTTTTCTGTAGAGCTAGAAAATATTATTGACATAAATTATAAACTTATTTTACCAAAAATTAAATCAATGATACAACAATGGAAAAGACGAATACTTACACCTATTGGTCGCGTCACCGTTGTAAAAACGCTCATTTTACCAAAACTTACTCATTTATTTATTTCCCTTCCTACCCCTAGCTATGATAAAATATCTTTATTGTGTAAAGACCTTTTTGAATTCATATGGAAATCAAAAATTGATAGAGTTAAAAGAGATATAGTCACTCAAGATTATTTATCTGGAGGATTAAAGATGTTAAATGTTGATTACTTCATAAAATCATTGAAATGTACATGGGTCAAAAGATTGGTAACAGAAAGTAATAAGCCATGGCTAGACATATTTTTTGGAATTAATGGTAATGATGCTGTAAACAAATTTATGGATTTTGGTGATGCTTTTATTTTAAATAGTCTAATACCTCAAAACAATATTTTCTGGTTTGATGTTTTTACTTCATGGTTACATGTTCTGAAGAATGTAGATCAGGATGTTCATATTGAATACAAGGCTTGTAATATTCCTATATGGTATAATTCAAATATTAAGGTAGATAATAAGAGTATTTTTATAGAAAATTGGTATAAAAGTGGAGTTAAAAATATTGGAGATTTTTTGTCAGAAGATTGTAAATTTTTATCAAAATCTGCCTTCCAAGAAAAATTCAGTATTTCCAATGTAAGCTTAATGCAGTATAATAGCACAGTTTCTGCCATTTGTAAATTTTTAAAGAATATGTCAATAGATAGACTGAGTTTGAAAAAACATTTTCAACCTAATTTACCTTTTTATTTTGAAAATATTTTTCACTATGAAAAATGTACAAAGAAAATTTACAATTATATAAACAAAAATGATATAATTCCTACAGCAATTCCAAAGTGGAATCAAGACTTATCTCCCTATGGAGTGGCAGATATTTGTATTAAAGATGTTTTTAAGGTTTGTTTTAAGACTACCTCCGATTCTTCTGTACAGTGGCTACAATATAGAATTCTACATAGGATCCTCCCTGTAGATTCTTATCTTAAGAAAATTAATATAAAATCTACTGACATTTGTAAGTTCTGTGCTCAGGAAACTGAAACTTTACTGCATGTATTTGTCAGTTGTGATCATATTGTATCTTTATGGAGGAACTTGAGTTTACATATATACAGAACAATTTCAAAAAGAGTTGGATTCAATGTCAAAAATATTATCCTAGGTGAATTACCACTTACTAAGGACAACAGAATTGAAAACTTTATGATACTATATACAAAACAATATATTTTTTCATGTTTACTACAACCAAAAATACCTTCATTTACTGGTTTACTGAATTATTTGAAAATGAAACACAATATTGAAAGATGTATGTCTATTAGTAACTCAAAACTGTTTTATTTTGAAGAACAATGGATTTTGTGGAAAAATATTTTTGAACAAATGTAAGATAATTTGACAAGTTTTTGATATTTAGTTTATGATAGAAACAATTGTTGATAAGCTGATTACCATGAAACAACCTCCATATTAATTTAAAAGGCAAATAGATGTATGAATGGGTGTGTGAGTGCTAAATATCCATTGTAATTTTGCTGCTAATTTAACTTGATTTTGTATGTTATACAATGGATAAAAAAAAAAAAAAAAAAAAAAAAAAAAAAAAAAAAAAATTTATTTCTCTAAAAAATTGAAAGCTTCATGACTCATATAAACCAACAATTAAGGCGTTATATTACTTTTTTTAAAACTCGCATGGTCGTTTGTTCGTCAACAGTTTTCTTCAATTTCTCGAATTTAAAGGGAAACCGCAATATCACGAAAACGAAGCTCTAGCGGAAGTGACGTCATAAGGTTAACAAGGAAAGCGGTTAATATGGAAAGAAGTGAAGATAGTGCGAGCTTAAGTGACGATAACGTCTCTGTTTTATATGCTGGATCATCCTCTTTCGATGATTCTTACATCGGAGACGTCGGACTTGGTGTTCGATCCAATCTGTTTGAACCAGAGGTGGATTCAGACGAGGGATTGCCCACCTCAAGATCACCTGATATCGATTCGGCCGAACGCCTTGGGAATGATTGGTAAGTTGTACATGTAACGATTTTTCAACAAGAATTAGTAACTCATTTATCTAATGTTTACAACTACTTT